CCTCGGTTGGGAAGATCCCCTGGAGAAGGGAACAGCTATCCACTCCAGTATTCTGGTCTGGAGAATTCCAAAGACTGTATAGTCCATGGGGTCGAAAAGAGTTGGACACAACTGAGTGACTTTCACTTTCCCATTAACACTAGAAAAATATTTTAAAATAAATAAAACCTTTAAAACAACCTGCCAGACTTCTCTTGTGGTACAGTGGATAATAATCCACCTGCCAAAGCAGGGAACACAGGTTTGATCCTTGTTTCAGGAATATGTCACATGGCGTGGAGCAACTAAGTCTATGTGCCCCAACTAGACTCTGCGAGCCACAACTACCAAATCCGCATGCACCAACTACTGAAGCTTTCATGATCTGAGACCTTGGGCAGCAGCTGCTGAGTCTCCATGCTTCAACCACTGAGGCCCTTGCACATAGAGCCTGTGCTTCAGAAGTGAAGACACCACAATGAAAATCCCGAGCACCACTACTGGAGAGTAGACCTCACTCACCGCAACAAGAGAAAGCCACTGCAAAGCAACAAAAATCCAGCACAGCCAAAAGTTTAAAAAATAAATAAATAATCATAAAAACCATTCATGCATTATGTATTCATTCACTCAATAAATGTTTATCAAGTACCCTATGTGCCATTCCTTATTTTAGGTCTGTGGTTTACAGAAGTGATGGAGAAGGAAATGGCAACCCTCTCCAGTATTCTTGCCTGGAGAATCCCACAGACAGAGGAGCCTGGTGGGCTACAGACCATGGGGTCGCAAGAGTCGGACACGACTTAGCAACTAAATAACCACCACCGCCACCTTACAGAAGTGAATCAGGAACTTTTCATCCCGATTTTATAAAGCTTATATTTTTCAGGGGAGATAGACACTTATCCTAAAGGAATCCTAAAGGAAATCAATCCTGAATATTCATCGGAAGGACTGATGCTGAAGCTCCAATACTTTGGCAACCTGATGTGAAGAGTCAACTCATTAGAAAAGGCCCTGATGCTGGGAAAGATTGAAGGCAGGAGGAGAAGGGGACGACAGAGGATGAGACGGTTGAATGGCATCACCAACTCGATGGACATGAGTTTGAGCAAGCTCGAGGAGTTGGTGATGGACAGGGAAGCCTGGCATGTTGCAGTCCATGGGGTTGCAAAGAGTCAGACATGACTGGGCTGAACTATTTATTAATATATTTGACTTCATTGATGGGAAAACTGATATAAATTAATTTGGACATGGCTACTGTGTAGCAGGCTGGCATTTGCACGGTGCAGGCTACCTGACACAAGAGCCTATGCTCCTGGCTTGTACACACACATACGGATTTATACACACAGGCAATCTTATGTGGGCCCCTGGAGTCTCTACCAAATAGCATTACAAACTCACAGATTTTAGCTCCTGTACTAGTTCTATACACACTTTTATTTCCTTTGTCCTCAAAGCAGCTAGATGCATGATTTCCTGGAATAGCACTGTCCAGTTAAAATGGCGGGGGCGGGGGGGAATCCTCAGGCGGTCCATGGTTAGGACTTGGTGCCATTACTGCTGAGGTCCTGAGTTCGATCCCTTGTTGAGGAATTAGGATCACACAAGCCCTAGAGAGAGGCCAGAAAAAAGAGAAAGAGAGAGAGAGAGGGAAATATATTGTAAACTACATGTGTAATGCTGAATTTTGTTAGCACCATTTAAAAGAAAACAGGTGAAGTTAACTTGATAATATATTTGATTTAGCCTAATATAGCCTAAATATTATTTTAAGATCAAATTACCACACAAAAAAACTGGGAAAAATCTTAAAGAGATGGGATACCAGACCACCTTACTTGCCTCCTGAGAAACCTGTATGCAGGTCAAGATGCAACAGTTAGAACCAAACATGGAATAACAGGTTGGTTCCAAATTGAAAAAGGAGTACATCGAGGCTGTATATTGTCATCCTGCTTATTTAACTTATATGCAGAGTACATCATGAGAAATGCTGGGGTGGATGAAGCACAAACTGAAATTAAGATCATCAGGAGAAATATCAATAACCTCAGATATGCAGATGACACCACCCTTATGGCAGAAAGCAAAGAGGAAATAAAGAGCCTCTTGATGAAAGTGAAAGAGGAGAATGAAAAAGCTGGCTTAAACTCAACATTCAGAAAACTAAGACCATGGCATTTGGTCCCATCATTTCATGGCAAGTAGATGGGGAAACAATGGAAACAGTGAAAGATTTATTTTCTTGGGCTCCAAAATCACTGCAGACAGCAGCCACGAAATGAAAGATGCTTCCTCCTAGGAAGGAAAGCTATCACAAACCTAGACATTATACTAAAAATCAGAGACATTCCTTTGCCGACAAGGGTCCATCTAGTCAAAGCTATGGTTTTTCCAGTAGTCATGTAAGTATGTGGGAGTTGAACCATGAAGAAGTCTGACTGTCAAAGAACTGATGCTTTCAAACTGTGGTGACTCTTGAGAGTCCCTTGACCAGCAAGAAGTTCAAACCAGTCAGTCCTAAAGGAAATCAACCCTGAATATTCATTGGAAAGACTGATGTTGAAGCTGAAGTTCTAATACTCTGGCCACCTGATGCGAAGAGCTGACTCATTGGAAAAGACCCTGATGCTGAGAAAGACAGACACAGTGGAAAGGTGTTCTCATCTCTTGAAGACTTTTCCACAGTCTGTTGTGTAATTATATCTTAAAATAATATTTAGGATACATTAGGCTAAATCAGATATATCATCAAGTTAACTTCACCTGCTTCTTCAGGAAGAGAAGGGGATGACAGAGGTCGAGATGGTTAGATGGCATCTCCAACTCAATGGACATGAGTTTGAACATGTTCCAAGAGATGGTAAAGGACAGGGAAGCCTGACATGCTGCAGTGCATGGGGTCACAAATAATCGGACATGACTGAGCGACTGAACAGCAACAACAACAATAATTACTATTAAAAAATCATTTGTGAGATACATTACATTGTTTTATCCATACTAAATCTTTGAAATCCACTGGGCAGTTGACACAACAAATCTAAGATAGACTGACCCCATTTTCTGGCTTTAGTGGCCACTTGTCCTATGCAAACAGTGCAGCTATTGAACAGTTTCACTGGGCAGAACGTGCTGTTGGACGGAGGCAACCCAGAACCTTAGCAGAGTAAGTCTTGCTGCCAGCCCTCATCCTAAAGCAGCATACAACTTCCTGCAAATACCACCACATTAACCTAATATCTCAATACTACTGAAAAAATGAGAGTTTGCTACGATAACAGGTTTTCTGCTGAAATTTGCTACTAATTGTTAGATTCATTTCATTCCTTTGGCAAACTGGCCCCTGATTTTATTGGAGCCCTCTGGGGCTACATATTTCTTAATATATACTTGAAACATCATTTCATCCCAAAAAGATAACTTGCAGTTTACTGAGTATTTGTGGAAGTCTATCAGAAGTAACTAGAAGGGTCAAGTCAGAGAAATTAGCTAAGAAAATTAGTTTTAAGCATCAGTTTCCAACCTTGATATGATTTGGATTTTTTTTACCATGAAAATATATTATTTAGTTGACAATAATATTTCAATAAATAAGAATTTAATGGAAGGCAAGATATTGGGAGGGAAAGAAATTTAATGAGTTTAGGAAAAACAGAGATGAAAGGTAGACTGACCCTGGAAAGAAAAGACCAGCCCTACAGCACCTGGAGTTAGACAGAGGCCCCTCCTGATTCATAGACAATACTGCATAAAATACAAATGAAGACATGAAAGCAACCTTCCCTAGTCTTGCTCTACCCTTAAGGCATCTCAAGGTTCTGCTTAGCTGCAGCACTCTAGTTCTCTGGGGTACTCCTCAGAGGTAAGGGTGCAGTACTCTAGCGGTCCCAGTTCACTCACTCTTGGACTTAACCTCCACATCTGACGCGAGAACCCTCAACTGTTCCCTGGTTCTCCCTTTTGCATGATAGGTATGGAAGTGCATGAGCTCCCTAGTCACCCAAACTCTCTAAGTGGTTTTGCAGATACCAACCAGAGATGATCACAAAGGTCCTCCAAAGATGGGATCTGTCATCTGTCCCCACAACTGAATTTCTTGCAAGTAGAAGCAGGCTGAAAAGTAACCAAAGCCAGGGAAATAGAGAGCTGGGATGATAGGACTTTTTCTGAGAAGTTTCCACACATGGAGTGTGAATCCAAGGCTACTAAAGGAACCAATCCATACATAGAAAGGTGACTGAATACAGCTTCTTGCTTCTTGGTAGTGCCATAAGGAATACATGCCGTGTATGTCTTGCCTCTTCTAATCTGATCTGACTTCTTCCTATGTCCATGGACTGAATGCTCTTTAAACACACTCTACACACTTTGGGACCACCACTTATTAGAGATGATTCTCTGAACCAAAAATGCAAATCAGAGAAGGCATGATTAGGCACATTAGCATCAAGGCATCCATTCTATTAATACAATCTAAAATTCCATATCTAAAATCTACAGCAAATTTTAGAGTTGAGGCATTGAGAGGAAGATAAGACATTTGTCATTCAGAGGACAAAGACACAGGACACTTCAGGGATCCTACAAACTCAGAGCAGGCATTAGGAAGTAGTGCTTAGTAAAGGAAAGAAACATGCTTACAGCAGTTACGACAGGATCTATCCTAAGGATCCGGGAACATTCTAATGTTGGGGAAAAAACAAGCGGTAATGGTGCAGCTCCTTCCTTCCTCTCTCTCTCCTCAACTTAAAGTTCTGACTACTTGTGAATTGGTAAATGAGCTCAGGCAAATGAGCAAAAAAAGAAGTTCCAGACAAACACTGACCTTTCTCAAAAAAAAAAAAAGAAAGAAAGAAAACAACTAAGGTAGCAAAAAGGAAATCGCTCAGATGTGATGATGTTGGCCAAGTGAACTTGACCCAATAGCTCCAGGGTCTTCCTGCTAGAGTTATAAGAGCCGTCCTGGCTCCCTGAGGACACAGTCCTCCTGAGCTTCAAATTCTTCCAGCATGCATGCCCTTCAGTTTCTGTTCAAGACCAGCCCTGCTGTCCTGCTCCTCGTTCTCAGCCTGAGACTTGGGTCTGGCGCAGCTCAAAACCTAGTGTAAGTCGTGTATTTTTCTTCCCTGCAGAAAATCGACAATTTTGCCAACCCAGAACTCATTCTCTCCCTGCTCAGAAACTGCTGGGAGAGGTTACCGAATCCATGACTTACAGCTCTTTTGTGTTTTAAATCCGTCTTCTATCCTTTTATCATTCTCTCCTTTTGCCATGAAAGAGAAACATAGTTGGCAATGTGACCGCGGTCAATAGCTATGGTGTAAACTTTTCATAAGGTGCCTGAGCTATACAAGAGGGGCCAAGGCCCTGCTCACCACCCAGAAGACAGGGCTGTGCTGATCCACCAACTCAGGTGATCCCTGCGCTTCATGGGCATCCGTGCTCACCTCAGGTATTGCCATGCAAAGGAGATCCTTACCGCGTTGGTGCCTCTGTATCCCTTTTATCCCTCTGCTCTCTCTGCCTCTCCTGCTTCCATATTCCCTCCCAGGCTACCTCAATCCAAGACTTTTATCTGACCTTTTGTCTTCTTCTTTTTTATATGTAGACAGGAGGTGATTTCAGCAAAACTGACAATTGATCCAGTGGAAAACTCAACTAACTATTATGATGTAACAGTCACAGTTAAAAGTCACGTGGCCAAATGCTTAGTGGTAAGTGAAGCTTTGGGGGTCATGGTGAGTGGGGAGAGAGATGAGAAATATCCTCATAAATGATTTCAATCCGCACTATTGATTTGAAGTGAAACATCATCTTACAAAGTCACCTACAAATGCTTTTGCATGCATTAGCCGTGAACTTCAGAGCAACTCTCTTAGGAAAGTGTGTATTCTTATTTCCATTTTTAAAATGAAAAAGTGATGGTACAGATGGAATAGTCGAATTCATAAGTTCTGAAAGTACATTAGTAGCTTACAGGGCCAAGGTGTATGGGAGTGGGGATGTTAGTGTTTAATGGAGACGGAGTTTCAGTTTAGGAAGCTGAAAAATCTGGGAAATGGGTGATAGCCTGCGCTGCACAACAATGCGAATGGACTTCGTGCCACTTAACTGTGCAGCTAAATATGGTTAAAATGTTGTTTTTTATTTTGTCACTTTTACCACAAAAAAAGAAAAAGCACTAAAAAACAAAGAAGAATGTGATGGTAGGCAGAGGATAAATGAGAAGAGGCTTTCCACCATGTCAGGACTCTTATATTCCCCAGGGGAGAAGCAAGGAGGAGGGAGAAAAGCAGTAAGAATAGGGATAAAAACCAAGATGAATAAGACTGGGTGACAATGGTTAAGCAGCGTTGCTGGCCCTGAGCCATCCACACCCCTGCCACCATCCTGTGCCGTGGGGAGGCTGAGTCACGGAGACTCCACTCAATAGGCCACGGCAGATGGGAGAGAAGCTGCAAGGATGGGGTGATTATGGTCTCCCTCACCGATGGGAGACTTCCTGTCAGACCAGGACTGGCTTTCCAGCCTCTTACCTCCATCACCTCTCCTCACTGTCTTCACTGAGCCTTCAGATCCCCTAGACCACTGGCTTCTTCGTATTTGACAGCAATCATCAACTCCTTAGAGGTCTCAGTAAGGTTTTTAGAAAACAATGCAAACAGAAGGGAAAGCTACCAAAAGCCCTAAGAGAAATACATGCGGTATCTGATTATTTACTCAAGTATAAATGATGCTAGAAACGCCTTTGAGCTTCCCCTTTCCAAACATCTTCTCTGTTGCCATTTCAGGAACGTCCTGGGACTTTCTCTTCTCAGGTCTGACCTCAGTAGATGTCTTCTCCCATCTGGAATCTCAGTCATTCCTTTCCTCTTGTATCCGAGTAAAAGTTTTATAACTGTATTGGGTAAGGCTAACACGTACTGAGTACCAGTTGGCCAAGTGCTTTCAGGTTCCAGGTGTCTTTATTTGTACAATACACATAGTACTTTACCTTCATAAAGAGCTTTATCATACACAAAAGGCAAAAACTTATGAAATCATACTGACTAGATAGCTAGATTTCATACCTTGATTTCACAAAGGTAGACTGAGAAGCTCAGAGTAATAATGCCAAGTCACAAAGCCAGAAACCAGCTCAGTAGGGACAATGAGCTCTGTTTTGTTTATTCGGTGGGTTTATTCCCCACCACATCGGAGCAGACTGCTTTTTACCATCTCGATGACACTCTAAATTGAGTTCAACCATACATGTGTGAAGGGCTGATGTCTAGGGGAAACCTCTGGTGCCCTCTTCCTGTGTTGACCTAAAACACGCTTATTCTGTTTAATGGTCAATCCCCAGCTGCCTCAGCCAAATCCACGCTTTTTACCCTTTTCATCCTCTCCTCCTCAGGTTAGAGTCACACTTGAGGCCTCCAACAACATCATTTTTCCTTATGGTAATTTTAATTACACAGCCTGTCTGTGTGATTTCAGTACAAGAAACTTCTTTTGGGAAATACAAGCAACAGGTATGTGCAGAGACTTCCTGCCTGAGCACTAATGTCAGATAAGGGGAAGTGTTATGTGAGAGCAAAGGGCAAGTTTAAAGGGAAACCAAGACATGTCAGAAAGCAAAATGAATAAATTATTGGAGGAAGATGAAACTCATCACATAGAGGCAGTGTGGGCAAGGAGTTCAAGGTGGAGGAAGGGAGAGGGGCTGGTAACATCTGTGTCTTGTACAGGAGCCTAAGAAATGGGGCTGAGTGTCAGACACAGTAAAAGGCAGGATATAATGTTTTATGGGTGGGTCTTATGCAAAGAGTTGACTCACTGGAAAAGACCGTGATGCTGGGAGGGATTGGGGGCAGGAGGAGAAGGGGACGACAGAGGATGAGATGGCTGGATGGCATCACCAACTCGATGGACATGAGTTTGAGTAATCTCCAGGAGTTGGTGATGGACAGGGAGGCCTGGCGTGCTGCAATTCATGGAGTCGCAAGGAGTCGGACACGACTGAGCAACTGAACTGAAATGAACTGAACTGAACTGAACTGAATTGGTATAAGAAGACCAGTAGTGGAATCCAGCAGTCTAACACAACATTGCTTTTTCTTTCCAGAAAATGGGATCATAAAAGGGAAAGTTGAAGTTGTGTCAGAAGAGAATATATGCCCTTCTGATGAGGAACTCTGCATCATTGTTTACAAAGTTTGTATCAAGCGTGAAATCATCATAATATGCTGATCTCAAAAGTCTGCTGAGTTTGTGGGCAGCTGTGTAGACTGGAAAATAAACTTCCTATGGGCTTCTCACTGTCCTGCCTGTGTTCTCTCCCCCAAATTAGTACTGTGTCTGCTCAGACACCCCAGGGTCCTCATGAACCAGTATTTTAAGAGGACTTCTCAGGGATGATACATGAGCATCCACTTCCTAGCAATTGAGAATAAAGAGAAGACGGGAACTATCCTCACCATTTAACACAGTGGCAAACATGTCCGGAGAGAGCTGTCCCCAGGGCTAAGATTAAGGGTAGAACTGAGCAAAGGTTCTAAGCAGCAGTCCCCAGTCAGTTTAAACCAGGAACCGGTTTTATGGAAGACAATTTTTCCATGGGCCAGGGGTTTGTGGCAGGGGGAGGTGAGAGAGAGTTTTGGGATGATTCAAGTGCATTATGTTTATTGGCAATCTATTTCTATTTTTATATCATCAGCTCCACCTCAGATCATCAGGCATTAGATCCCAGAGGTTGGGACCCCTGGATTAAGTTTCCTTCCTCTTTCAGTCCAGTTACATGCAGCTGCCCCTCCCAGTTATCTGAAAGTTCAATGAACCTGAAGTCCTAAATTATTACATCTTGCTCCTCTTGAACTAGCAAGGAAAAGATTAGCACGAGCTCAGGTGTGCTGGGCTCCTGACCAGGATGTTCCTTCCTTGTGCCTAAGCTCTTTCATCACAATAAGGCAAAACTCAGTCGGAAAGGAGATACCTATTGTGAGTGGAGATTGAGGAGTTATGGGGACCATTCATTGCTGCTACTAATGGGCATGTATAAATAGGTGCAGCCATCCAGAGAATCACCTGATGTAACTTAAATTAATTGTGTGCATACCTTCAGACCCAGAACTTCCACAACCAGCAGTGATGGTAAGAGAGACAATTTTGATCCCTGGGCTCCAGGGCCAATCTACTCTAGCTATCAAAGACAAAGGGCCACTGAAAAGCCATTGTTTTAAAAGACATGCACATCTTGAAGGATTTTTTGCGATCCCATGCACTGTAGCCCCCTTCGGCTCCTCTCTCCATTGGATTTTTCAGGCAAGAATACTAGAGTGAGTTGCCAATTCCTTCTCCAGGGGACCTTCCTGACCCAGGGATCAAACCCAGGTCTCCTGCATTGCAGGTGGATTCTTTACCAACTGAGCCACCAGGAAAGCCCTTACAATTACAGTTCATGAAGAACATCACCATATCCCTAAACAGTGTGATTCCACAGTCATTTCCTTAGCAGCTCATGTCTGTGCTTTTCCTGGCATGCCACATGGCCAGTAGTTTTCACATAATGTGAATGAGACTCAGTATATATCTTGATCATGGTATTCCCATTGTAACAAACCTTTCACTTAAAAAAATTATTCCATTGATTTAAGGAGATGTTAGATGGACCTAGAAATCAGATACTCTGTGAGTTCTCAGATAGTGGTGCTGAATAAACACTGCAGGCAGGAAAAAGTTCCATACCTAGAATATGCATCGATTTCAGTACAGACAAGATGAATGCATGAATGCTAAGTCACTTCAATGTGTCCAGCTCTTTGAGATCTTACAAAGATACTGCCCCCTCAAGAGTCTAAAGGATCCAGTGCAATCATTATTCTATGAAATTGTCTCCTTGAGTGATGATACATTATTGAGGTCTCAGTATTAGTTTTTGTTGTTGAAAGGCCAGCACCTGCAACATCAAAATCACTTATGGGAAGAAATGAATTTTTTACAATTTTACCAAATACTTTATTTTTAAAGTATTTTTTAATATTAGCTGCTCTGGGTCTTAGCTGCAGCACACAGAATCTTAGATCCTCACTGTGGTACACGGGATCTTTGGTTGCAGCATGAGAACTCTGTGCTGTATATGGGATCAACTTCCTTGAGCAGAGATCAAACCGGGGCCCTCTTCATTGGGAGCACAGAGTCTTAACCATTGAACCACCATGGAGTCCCTGCTGCTGCTGTTGATGCTGCTGAGTCGCTTCAGTCGTGTCTGACTCTGTGTGACCCCAAAGACAGCAGCCCACCAGGCTCCTCTGTCCCTGGGATTCTCCAGGCAAGAATACTGGAGTGGGTTGCCATTTCCTTCTCCAATGCATGCATGCATGCTAAGTCGTTTCAGTCATGTCCAACTCTGTGTGACCCCATAGACAGCAGCCCACCAGGCTCCTCTGTCCCTGGGATTCTCCAGGCAAGAATACTGGGGTGGGTTGCCATTTCCTTCTCCAATGCATGCATGCATGCTAAGTCGCTTCAGTCATGTCCAACTCTGTGTGACCCCATAGACAGCAGCCCACCAGGCTCCTCTGTCCCTGGGATTCTCCAGGCAAGAATACGGAGTGGGTTGCCATTTCCTTCTCTGAGGGAGGTCCCTAGCATATATTTTATTTTTATGGAAGTATATTTGATTTGCAATAAGTTTCAGGCACAAACCACAGGAATTCAGCTATATAAATATGTATATTTATATTTATTCAGATTCTTTTCCCTTATAGGTTATACTGTGCTATTTCCAACTTATGAAGGATGGCTGCTGTAGCCACTCAAATATATAATTTCTGGGTCTGCCTATGTCTAAGTAATAATGCAGAACTCTGGTCTCTTTGTGTTTCACGCTCAGGAATTGGGTCTCCATGGTGCTCAAATGCACCTTTTAAAAAATTAGTTTTCTCCTGCAGAGAGTATAGATTTATTCCAGAATCCTGCTGGTCTACCCTGCCACACTCTGGTGAGACTTAACAGAGTCAACACTCAGAGTCCATCATCTACCATGAATCTGTGTAGCACCATAGGATCTCCCAAATGATGTGGCCAAAATAAAGGATTTATATTAGCTCAGATTGCTGTAACAAAATGCCTTAGACGGACTGGCTTAAGCAACAGAGTTTTATTTTCTCATTGTTCTGGAGGCCAAGTAGTCTGAGATCAGGATTCCAGCATGACCAGGTTCTAGGGAGGGCTCTCTTGCTGGCTTGCATACAGGCACCTTCTCACTGTATCCTGATACAGGGAAAAGACAGTAATGGTGCCTTTTCCTCATCTTATAGTGGCACCAGTTCTAGGAGCTCCACTCTTAAGACCTAATTTAACCTGATTCACCTCTTTAAAGGCCCTAATAGACTCACTTGAGGAAGGGGAGGCAGAGCAACAAAAAATAATCTCAGAAAACATAATTCAGACTCAGCAAGACTGCACACACCAAAGTTTGAACCTGTTATAGAATCCCTTTATTGCTCTGGATACCACTCAAAACTGGCATCTTTTTGAGTCATCCAATGATGATTTGTCAGTCCCCAAATTAGTAAACTCTACCTCCAAACTCTAAGGTTTTCCAAGAATGGTGCCATTTTTTCAGTGGTAAGTTGTTCAAGGTTCAATAACTATCTTTACCTTAGAAAAGAGCTTCCCAGGTAGTGCTAGTGGTAAAGAACCTGCCTGCCAATGTAGCGGAGACAAGAGACAAGGGTTTGATTCCTGGATTGGGAAGATCGCCTACAGGAGGGCTTGGCAACCCACAGTATTCTTTTCTTCTTTACCTACTTTATTGTGACATTATTTACGTAACATAAAATACAATGGGTTTCCCAGGTGACACTAGTGGTAGAGAACCCGCTTGCAAATGCTGGAGACATGACCCTTGGGGTGGGGCGGTGGGTCCCTGGGTCAGGAAGATCGCCTGGAGGCGGGCATGGCAACCCACTCCAGTGTTTTTGTCTGGAAATCCCATGAACAGAGGAGCCTGGTGGGCTACAGTCCATAATGTTGCAAAAAGTTGGCCTTGACTTAAACAGCTTTGCATGCATGCAGGCACAAAATACAATAATTTAAAGTATATGGATAACCAGCAAGGACCTACTGCATCACACATGGAACTCTGCTCAATGTTATGTGGCAGCTTGGATGGGAGGGGAGTTTAGGGGAGAATGGATACATGTATATGTATGCCTGAGGCCCTTCACTGCTCACCTAAAACTATTACAATATTGTCAATCGGCTATAACCCAATACAAAAAATTTTTTTTTAAATGTAAAATATATGATAAAAAATAAAAAATATTTGCCAATTGTCTTCTTAAAGGAATAAAGAATGCAGTTCAAGTTTTGATAAATAGCTATAATTACTAATAAAATCATGATGAATATTTTATCAGCACAAAAGATTTAATCATTCCATTTTTCACCCAATATCCTCCTCATCCTCAAACCCCAGATAACAACTGATCAACTTTTGTTCACTGTATGTTGATTTGTCTTATCTAAAACTTCATAAAAATTGAAATGAGCACTACGGACTCTTCTGTCTCTAGCTCCTTTATTTAGCATATATGTTTTTGAGATTCATACATGTTTTTTACTTTTTTTCTCCACACCAAAGCTGACAGAATTTACTGCTAGTAGACCTGAGCTATAAGAAATATCAGCTTGAGTCAAAGAGAACAATATTTTTTTTTCCTCAGACACATAGAAGATCCAAAGGAATGTATTAAAGCATAGTAGAACTAGTAAGTCATTTTAGCAAAATTTCTAAAATACACAGGACAAAATACTAAAGTATCTGTTGCTCCATACTAGAAATAAGCAATTGGAATATTAAATTTCAAAACACCATACTATTTGGAATTTCATTATGAAATTTCATATCAGTTGTATTTATAGTAGTAAAAATGGGAAATAATACATAGGTACATGGAGAGATGAACAGACTTTTAAAAATGTGGCATATTTATACAATGGAAAACTACTCAGGAGAAAAAAAGTAAAAACCCACAGTATTCTTTCCTGGAGAATCCTATGAACAGAGGAGCCTAGAAGGCTACAGTCCATGGGTTTGCAAAGAGTCAGAAATGACTGAATAGACTTAGCACAGCACCTTGGAAAAGATGTTCCCACATGCCCTGAACCACTACACCCCTAAAAACTTCACTAATGTGGAAGCCCCTTAAGTATTTGTATTTTTACTAACAGTTTGCATTTCAAAG